TTGGCACCTTAACTGTAAGCCTAATGGGGATATAAAAGGGGAGAAATCAATATGAACTAGAACATTCTGGAAAGATAGTTGTGTCATAAAAGGTCATGCAAGGGATAAAAGGAGTGGGAAGAGAATTAAAGGCAGAAAAGAAAACAAAAATAGCACACAAACACATAAAAATACGGGTGTATTTATTTTTATCTTTATTATGGGACTTACTGTCGTTATTGTGTACCTGGTGGGCACCTTGCTGGGAGAGATCTGGGCTTCCCATCCGGATGCCCCCAGGGCCTGGCAACAATGGGTCCTCCAGTAATGTTTGTTGAATGAATTAGCAAAGTGTGTTGAGGTTAATGGGCTGATGAATCTGAGTCAATCAGTAGGTAATAGAAGATTAGATTTGATTGGCAAAATGCGCCACTTAAATATCAGGGACACTAACTATGCAGCAGGAATGTCAGTGCTGAAAATCTTTAACCTGTTTCCTCATCCATAAAGTGGAGGCAGATGAACCCAAAGGTTTACTCCAGTTCTCACAGTCAAGATGATATTATTCGTGTTGTTTTGACCTAAAAGTTAGATTGCTGTTGCCATTTAAACCTGAATCACTTCAATGATCTAACCACGTCACTGGATTTTCCATAACATTACTATCCTTTAAAAAGATTCAGGGTATTATAAAATTCTATGCCGGGTTTCTTTAAAGTGGAATAACATGAAGTTTTCAGAAAAAAAATGTTCAGCTAGTGGTAAGTTCAAACCAGGTCGAAATTGCTTCATGCATGTACAATTCGCTGAGGAACTCTGTTCTTAGTGAAGTTATTGAGGTGGCGTGGGGTGGGGAGGGGAGTGTAGGATGACCTCTATATTGGTAATAAATTCAAATAGTTAGCTACACCTCTGGTGACTAGAATTTTTATAACTATGATTTATTCATGCATGCCTTCAGTCATTTAAAAAAATTAAAGAAAGATTTTTTTCCCTCTAAAATGTTCCTAAAATGTACTTTGAAAATCCTTCTCCTATCATTTTCTTTTTCTTAAATATATTTATGTTCCAGTGCTGGTTTCTGATTCGTTTCATTATGTGACCCTTACTACACCTCACACCCCCTTTTTAATCACATACAAGACTTCAGTCAGGAGCACCCTCCCACACACATTACAGCCTCCCGAGGCGGATGCCCTGCCCTGAGGCCCACCAGCCCCTGGGCCACGAGCTGGGTGTGTTAGAGACACAGCAGACCCCTGGGCCCGAGACCCAGTCATTCAACCTTCCGTGCCCAGGAACGTCGCCCTGCTCTGGGCATCCAGCTGCTCCAAGGGGACACCTCAGACGAGGGTTTTCTGTCTGAGCTCTTCGACGAGGCCGGGACAGCACTCATCCCGGGACAGCTCTCGTCCCAGGACAGCAGTCATCCCCGGCGGACAGCACTCATCCCGGGACAGCAGTCATCCCGGGACAGCACTCATCCGGGGACAGCACTCATCCCCGGACAGCACTCATCCCCGGACAGCACTCATCCGGGGACAGCACTCATCCCCGGACAGCACTCATCCGGGGACAGCACTCATCCCGGGACAGCACTCATCCCGGGGACAGCACTCATCCGGGGACAGCACTCATCCCCGGACAGCACTCATCCCGGGACAGCACTCATCCGGGGACAGCACTCATCCCGGGACAGCACTCATCCCCGGACAGCACTCATCCCCAGGACAGCACTCATCCTGGGGACAGCACTCATCCCCGGGACAGCACTCATCCCCGGGACAGCACTCATCCCGGGACAGCAGTCATCCCGGGACAGCAGTCATCCCGGGACAGCAGTCATCCTGGGGACAGCACTCATCCGGGGACAGCACTCATCCGGGGACAGCACTCATCCCGGGACAGCAGTCATCCCGGGACAGCACTCATCCCGGGACAGCAGTCATCCTGGGGACAGCACTCATCCGGGGACAGCACTCATCCCGGGACAGCACTCATCCCCGGGACAGCACTCATCCCCTGTAATGTAACTCAGCGATTCAGCCACGGTGATGAAGACTGTGTTTATTAGAAGGTAACTGTGTACTCAGGAGGTACTAGCAGCAAGGTCCACCCAGAGGGCTTTACACCTACTGGAAGATAATAATTTGTGACAAAAACGCTCACTACAAACTTCTTTTTTTGGAAATTTAAAAAAAAAATCTTTACTGTGGATAAAGAAGATAAGCAGGGAGGGAGAAGAGGACTTTGAACCATTTCAGATTTGATGTGCTCAGATTAAGGGGCTCTGCCCGACTCTTCAGTGCCAGTCAGGGCCCCACTAATCTGACTGCTTTTATCATGAAAACATAAGATGCTCAAGACAAGGGTCTCCTGCTGTGAAAATATCTAAGTCCATGTCCCAGAGGATCTTGGAGAGGCTCCACAGAGGGGTGAGGGGGGCAGGCAGTTCGCCTGGGCAGCTCGAATGCTTCCCTTGTGTTTGCACTTTCTTGGGGGAGCTCAGGGAGGACGGGCCATAGAATCCCTGCCCCGTCTCCAAGCTCATTGACTCACCCACGCGACTGCACATGGAAGCATGTGCCGCTGGCCCCAGGCCGTGCATGGTGTGTGCCCTGTGTCTCCGGGGCTGAACAGGTGTCTCAGATATATCTGCTCCTCACTTCCTGGAAGCTTCTCCCACACAGTAAGACAACAGAAAAGCGGCCAATACGCAAGCTCCCGGACATCCCCCCACACGAGGCCTACCTCCTCCACAGTGGCAGAGCTCACAGTGGCTGCCGACGGGACACATTTCTCTCGACGTGCGCCTGTGCGGTCAAGAAGTTCTAGAACACAAAGCAAGGACTTCGCCTGCAGCGTGCCAGGGCAGATTTCGCCCAGTCCCGTTTCCCTTCTATTTTCACACCACGTTGGGGCTCCTGGGAGGTGAGAGTTGGTCATTAGTCTTTTACAATTACCTCGAAAAATCTCTTGGGTTCACACACTTCTTTCCACCTTCATCACCACCACCTCAGCCCCAGCGTTTATAATTTCTCACCTGGACTATTGCAATAGCCCTGAAACCTGCCCTTCCAGCAGCTTCCACACTGCATTCGGAGCAATCTGGTTCTCTTTATTACTGAGGGAAAATTCACACAACGTAACATTACCCGTCTTAAAGTGTACAGCACATTGGTACTGAGTTTATTCACAATGCTGTGCACACACCACCTATATCAAGTTCAAAAACCTTTTCAGCATCCCAAAGGGAAACTCCATGCCCATGAAACAAGCACTCTCCAGCTCCCTTCCCTCCCCAGCTCCTAGCAACCGCGGATCTGGTTTCTGTCTAAATGGATTTACCTATTTTATATATTTTATATAGAAAGAATGATAAAATAGTTGTGCTTTTCTATCTGGCTTCTTTCACTCAACATGATGTTCCTAAGATCCATCCATGTTGTAGCATATATCAGTACTTCATTCCTGTTTATGGCTGAGTCGTTTTTATTTTATGGATATACCACACTTTGTTTATCCACTCATCCGTTGACAGAATTGGGTGGTTTCCACTTTGGGCTACTATGAATAGTGCTGTTATGAATAATCATGTACAAATTCAGAGTTATCACACACACACACACATACACACACACAAACCTGATCATGACCTCACTCCCTTAACAGAAAATGGGGGGAAACTGGGAAGGCCAAAGAGACTTGTGGCTAAAACAACCTATTAATTCTGGTGGTGGCAGAAGCTAATCAAAGTAGCTGGGTGACATTATGAAAATAAAGCTTTTATTCCCAAACAGTCCTGTGAAGTTTGCAGAAGTCTGGCCAGCCTCAAGCTGTTGAGCCTCACATTTCACGGGAGTGGGGGAGAAACTGAGTCCTTCTGAACCCGTCTTCCAGCCAAGGCCATCACGAGCCGCCACTTTGAAGACAGCTGTAGGGATACCCCTTTTCGCTCGTCAGGGCTCTCGCTGGTCAAGAGAACACAGACCAACCAGTGGTACAGGATCAAACATTGTTCTCTAGTCAGACTCTGGTTTCTGTTTTCAGGCCTGTCAGAATTCCTACAAGCTGCATCGCCAACCAAACATGGAGAGACCTCTGCGTCAATGGACTGTTAGATGCAAATTTACTCAGCCTTCTAAATGTATGCCAGTGTGGTACACACTTTTAGCTAACACCAAGCCAGATGAGTGCAGGCATTTTGTGCATTAGAAGGTATCATTTTTCAACTCTTATCAGTATGTAAATTAGATTGGACTCTCTGGTTATCTGCTCCAAGGGCACAACCTACCAAAATTCAATTAACGTAATTTTCATCCCAGTGTGGCATTTCCGTCCCTTTGTGAGGACCGGGCCAGACCTCCTCCCCTCCCTGCAGAGCCAAGAAATGCTAGATCTTCAAAGGTACCAGCTGCTAGAATCAAGCCACAGGAGGGACCAGAAGATGCGAGTATTTTCTTGCTCTAGAAATTGTTAATGTCAACCCCCTTCTCTGACAAATCAGGAAACTGAACCCCAATTGTAGAGACAGAGAGGTTCCCATTCAGAAGTTCAGCATGAGCTGCCTGGACAGGGCTGAAGGCCTGGGCCAATGCCAGAGGCAGTACTGACCCAGCTGCAAAATCGGAGAAACATATTTTCTTTTTAAATTATTTTTATTAATTAGTTTTTGTAACAGATATTTCTCCTTTTTCCCCCATTGACACCCTCCTCCCCATTCCCAGCATTGTTGTCCATGTCCATTGGTCATGCATACATGCATATAAGTTCTGTGGTTTATCTCTTCCCTCCCACACCCCCTCTTCTGGGGTTTGTCAGTCTGTACCCTACTTCTATGACTCTAGGTCTATTTTGTTCATCCGTTTGTTTAGTTCATTATATTTCACAAATAAGTGAGATCATGTAATATTTGTCTTTCTCTGTTTGGCTTGTTTCGCTTAGCATAATACTCTCTAGGTCCCTCCATGTTGTCTCAAAGGGTAAGAGATCTCTCTTTCTTACAGCTGCTAGTGTTCCATAATAACATGGAACGCGTCACAAATTTGTGGGTCATCTGGTGCAGGGGCCATGCTAATCTCTGTATCGATCCAGTTTTAGTGTATGTGCTGCCCAAGCGAGCACAGAGAAGCATACTTTCCATCTGCTCTGACCTCCTCTGTCCTTCACCCTTTCCCCTCCCTGGAGCCATCACCCCTGGCTAGCCAGAAGCCTGAACCCTGGTGCCCATCTCTGCTCTCAAACACTGCCGTAGAACCCACATGCCTCCTCCCGTCCCCTCCCTCTTCTCCGCTCTGATTGTCCATGGTGATCCGTAGAATACAGTGGACTCCCAGAGATGCGTGCACGCTCCCAAACCCGCCTACGATTTCAGAGTTCTCGAGCCTCCGGAAGCCTGGTCCACCTACCCCAATTTAACAACTCTTGTTCTCTGCCTTTCTCCCACTCAGCAATCATGGACGAAATTAGTCAGAAAACGTTGATTTTGCACTGAAAAGGATTGTTTCCCACAAAGCAGAGCCTGACACAAAGGCTTAAAAACAAGCCTTTTCACCCTGGCTGTTTTGGTTCAGCGGGTAGAGTGTCTGCCGGTGGACCAGAGAGTCCCGGGTTCGGTTCCCGCTAAGGGCATGTTTCTCGGTTGCAGTTTGTCCCTGGCCCGGTTGCGGTCGTGCGGGTGGCAGCCACTCGATGTGTCTCTCTCACATCGATGTTTCTCTCTCTCATCGATATTTCTCTCAATCTCTCTTCCTCCCTCTCCCCCTCCCACTCTACCTGAAGATAAATGCAATGGTTTAAAGTGTATAAATCATGGCAGGATTATGAGTGATTTTTTTCCTTGTGGTTGCTGAATTTTCTAGGTTTCCTACAATAAACAGGGGAGAGAAGAGGGAAGATCGAGAATGGTGAGAAAGATGTGATTCCCAAAAAATCATTAGGAGGAAAAGTTGCCTCCGAAGGAACCTAGGAAGGGAGAGAGACCATGAATTCTGGAGTCATAGGTGGTTCTAATCTTACCTATTAGCTACTGCTCCTTAAGGAAAGTTGCTCTACTCTTTCAATCTTAGCTATTTTAACAGAACAATGGGTAGGAAAAATCTCCCTTGCTGGGCTATTTTGAAGATTAGAATAATGCCTCGATAAAGTAGGTCTTCCTATACAACTCCCACTATGAATAATTTGAATTTATTGTTGTAATTTATAACAATAAGTAAGCTTGCCCTTGGCTGCATTCCAGATGGATTTTGCATGTAATCACAAGTATTTACAAAGCATCACACAGAGTATCATTCATAGGTGTGTTAAAAAAAATGATTCGAGTATCTGCTAAGTACCAGACTCTGGGGAAATAAGTCTGTGCCCTTAAAAAGTGACCAGTGGGGAGGGGGAGGGGGACATGTAAACAGAGAGGGAGTCACAGTGTGATGAATGGGCGGGAGGTGTGAAGGGGGAGCTACAGGAACACTGGGAAGGGGGTTTCCCACTGGGAGAGTCAGGGAAGGCTCTTCAAAGTCGGAGAGGATTTGGGGGGGCTGTCTTGGTAAAGCAGGGCAGGAAGAGTATATTAATGAGCCTAATTTGTGCAGTTGGAGCTGTAGAAGAGGCACAGTATCTGGGCAATGGAATGACTTTCATCGTGACTGGGGGCATCTGTATCTGGAGAGATGAGAACTGAAGTCGGAGGACAGAGCCAGGTTGTAGTGGCCTTGCATTCCACGGTCACAGGTTGGCCAGGGTGGCCAGCATGGTCCTCAAGCAGATGAATGGCAGGGTCAGGCTTACGCTCTCACTTGGACAGGAGACTGGACTGGACTGAAGTGAGGAAAGCCTTAAGGCAGGATGACCAAAAAAAGGAAGCAGGTGTAATCATCCAGAAAGAAGGTCAGGAGGCCCCCAAAGACAAGACAGTGGCAATAAGGAGTGGGATTGGATTCAGAAGCTCTTTCGGTGGTAGACTTGAAAGGATTTGGAGACTAACAGGACAGTAGGGGAGAAGGATGAATTCCAGGTCACAGCCAGGCATCTAGTTCAAAAGTCTGAATGGCTGACTTTACTGGGAAACAAGCAGAGAGGGGGCAGCTTTGAAGGGCAGCTGAATCCAACTTGAGTTTGAAGTGACTGAGAAGCATGTGGATGAGATGTTAGGCAAAGGGCTGGAAATGTGGAGCAGTAGCTCGAGAGAGAAGTTAGATGCAAATTCAGGAATCACTAGCCTGTGGGTTGGCATTGATGACCATGGCCACGGATAAGATCACAGGAGGGAAAATTATGCGTTGGAAAGAGGCTCATGACGCAGGGGACCACCCACCCCAGTTTGCTCAGGGCAGCTTTGGTTTACATCTGTTGTCCCAACATAATTATCCATAAAAACCTGTTTAATTTCAAAAGTATCCAGTTTGGATGACAAATTATATAGTCCCCTTTCCAATAACCCAGTTCTAGGGACCATCAAACAAAGAACAAAGGAGATGGGAAGGAATATTAAGAGGGAAGAGGAAACCAGAAAGGAGAGCATCTTTAACTATGTAGGGAACAGGCTCCTAATTAGAAGTATAAATTTCATGCTATCAAATAAAACACCCAACAAATTTTTTTTTGAAACTTGAGCATTTAAACTAAAATCACCAATTAAAAAATAAACAGAACAGACAAGCCATGAAAATTCCCAAACAAAAGAAAAAGGAACAAAAATTAACTTTACCATGATTTAAATTGATTATAAAGTATAGCAATTAAAGAGTTTGGTACTGATGAACAAGTTGACAGAAACACAAGTGAAATAGAATAAAGGGTATAAACACAGATCCAAGCACATATGGGAGTTTAGTACATGATAGAGCTGACATTTCTAATGGATGAAGCTAAGATACATTAATTATTAAATGATGTTGGGACAGTTGGCCAACCATCTGGAAGAAAAATAGGCTAGATTTCTACATATTACTCTGATTCCAAATGGATAAAACATTAAGCATTTTAAAAAGAAATCATAAATGTACTAAATAAAGCCTGGAATTTTTTTTTTTTTCAAATCATCCTGGGACTGGTGATGGGGTTAAAAGGCTTTTATAATCATGACATAAAACCTCAGACCTGTAAAGAAAATATTGATACATTTATCTCAATAAAAATTAGCATTTTTTTTTTTTTTTTTTTGCCCTGGCCAGTTTGGATCAGCAGTTGGAGCATCTGCCTTCGAACCGGAGAGTCCCAGGTTCGGTTCCCGCTAGGGGCACATACCAAAAAAAAATAGCATTTTTGCCTGGCCAGTGTGGTTCAGTGTCTGAACATCAACCCATGAACCAAGAGGTCGCCAGTTCGATTCCTGGTCAATGCACATGCCCAGGTTGTGGGCCCAGTCCCCAGTGGGGGGCATGTAGGAGGCGGCCAATTGAAGTTCTATCTCATCGATGTTTCTGTCTCTTTCCCTGTCCCTTCCCCTCTCCCTAAAATCAATAAAGAAACAAATTAGCATTTTCTGCTAAACAAAAGAACATGAACAAAATTCAAAGTCAAATAGCAACATGGGGAAATATTTACAATATATATGATACATCCATGTTGAGCTCTTATGAATTAGTAACTAAAAGACCAACAGCCCCATTTTTAAAAGAATGAAAGATAAGAAAAGAAAAAGAAAAACTACCATGATGCATAAGAAAAGATGCTTTACCTCACTCATAATTTTAATCACTTCTACCTTAGATTGGTAAAAAATAAAACAGCTTTATAAAGATAGAATTCACATACCATAAAATTTTCCCGTTTAAAGTGGATAATTTTAATATTTTCATATGGTTGTACAGCCATCACAGTATGTCTTTCTGGGCCTCAGTAAGATTGGGGTGATTATGGTCCTGTCCTCATGGAGTTACTACGAGAAGTGATTAGGAACGTGTGTGGAGAGGGGTTGGCACGGCGCCTGAGCAGGAAGCCCTCTGCCAGAAGAAGCAGTTATGGTTATTACCTGGGGTCACGCAGCGAATCAGGGGCGAAGCTCATGATGACATGAGCCTCCCCTCCCTTGCCACAGAGCTGTCTCTGGGCAGAGACTTAAGAAGGTATAGGCAGGGAAGGCAATGACCACAATTGTATAAAAAACCCTGAAATGGTTAATAATTGAATCAGCCACAACTACTCCCAACCCAGTGATTCTCAAAGTTAAGACTGAACACCCTTTTTTTGTTGTTGTTAATCCTCACCCAAGGCTATTTTTTTCCATGGATTTTTTTTTTTTTTTTTTTTTTTTTGAGAGAGAGAGTGGAAGGGAGGGAGGAGAGAGAGAGAGAGAGAGAGAGAGAGAGATGCGACAGAGGCACATCGATTGGTTGCCTTTCGTGCAACCCTGACCAGGGTCGGAGATCAAACTCACAACCCAGGTGCATGCCCTTGACCAGAATTGAACCCTCCACCCTTCTGTCTGCAGCCAATGCTCCAACGGCCCAAACCAGCTAGGGAGAGACCTAGCACCCTTTGTATCCTCTTTGTGGTATTTGATGACATTTCCTTCCCTAAAACTTCATTCAATCTAGTTATTCCTATTGGCAATAATAGTTACATAATGATAAGATTATAAATGTTATTCATTGCATTTCAGCTACAGACAAAGCAGAGGGCTTGGCTGCAACTATGCCACAGAACCTACATGCAGCAAACGTAGATCTTGACGATGCAAGAGCATCACAACCGACCAAAACTTGGAGGGGCAAAGGTGATGGAAGTGGAGGAAGTGTGGGTGTTCTGTAAGCCTCTTTTTACACAGTAGGGAATTAATGAATACTGTCTAAAGTTGATGACTCAAGAAATAAACATCTATGTGTGTATACAAATATATATATTTTAAAGACTATGGTGGTTGTCAAAATGATTAAAAGAGGAGAACCACAAACTGTGGTACTTCTCTCCACCTACCCACTTCTCCCACTCATGAGTAGGGATGCCATATAATGTATCATCTAAGTGGAACACTTAGGATAGTAAAATTGGGGACTAAAAAATAATTAACAATTGTTAATCCATTAAAAAGAACTTGCCAGCCCTGGCCGGTTTGGCTCAGCGGTTAGAGCGTCGGCCTGCAGTCCTGAGAGCCCCGGGTTTGGTTCCCGCTAAGGGCATGTACCTCG